TGGGGTGCGGGGATAGAAGGCTAGGGTCCTGGAAAACCTGATAGCCACAAAAGCTACTTGAGCTTTCAGGGTCTCACCTTGCCGATTTGAAGAATGAAATGCATGGGCCACAGAGGGCGAGTTTTAGGAAGTTTTATTACCATTATCGATAGTTTCTTAAGCTGTATAGTGGGAGTGCGGCCCTAGAAATGAGATGCTGAGCTGGGCGGTGGTGGCACACGTCTTTAATCCCAGTACTCAGGAGGCAGAGCCAGGTGGATCTCCGTGAGTTTGAAGCCAGCCTGGTCTACAGAGCGAGATCTAGGACAGGCACCAAAACTACATGGAAAAACCCTGTCTTGGGGGAAAAGGAGGGAAGGGTAGGGTAGGAGAGGAGAGGAGAGGAGAGGAGAGGAGAGGAAAGAAATGAGATGCCGAGAACTGCTAGGTCAGGGCTTGTTAAAGGATTCGTGGTAAAGCCTGGGGTAAAGCATGGGAGGAGGAGGATTAGATGACCCTCCCATGAGGTGAGCAGGTACTTCGGCACTTCCTCAGGTACAGCGTCCAGGCAGGAACAGAAGGAACCTCTTCTGGCTTCCCTGGCCCCCAGGGCATTCCTGGAGCTGTGGCTCTGGAGTCCCTGTCCTGTCTGACCAGGGTGTTTCCTGTTCTCACTGCTCTCAGCAGCTCTCCCTGGATCTGACGTCATCCCAACGTCCAGACGTTCCTCCCTGCCCATATCCTTCACTCTCATCCCTTGCCCCGTCACTTTGTTCTTGATCTTATTTCTCAAAGAAAGCAGGGGGTCCTTGCATTGACCCCACTCTCATCGGGCCTACAGGCCCCAGTAAAAACAACTACATACATCTCAGGGATGGACCCACTTTCTCCTGTCCACTCATTCACAGCAGGCGTGACCCCCCCAGGCAACTCCAACTCAACATGCCTGCATCCCGTCTTCTCAATACGGCCCTTGCTATCTTCCACCTGCAGCGATGGGCCTCCCCACCCCCACCCCTCAGTCCTAGGAAGCACAGGTCCACAGACTCTAAGGATGAACTGCTAGCCTCAGCCACCGATCACCCACCATTCTTAGCTGAGCAGTATGGCCGAGGCACTGCAGAGAGCCGCTGGGGTACAGCACAGGGTAGGAGGCTGATCCCTGCCTTGAGGGTTTCCATCCTTGGAGGAAAACAGACAACTTAAAAGCATGGTGTCACAGTGCACTGAGGAATGGTAAGGCTGAGAAAGCCCAGGAGCTGCTGTTTCACGGGGTGCGTGCGCGTGCATGTGCGTGTGGGGGAGGTGCATGTGCAGGGACTCTGCACCTCTGGAGGATAGCAAGACTGCGCTGGGCTGAGGTCAGCGGCAGCTGTGTCCTCAGTGTTGAAAGGGAAGAGAAAGGACGCTTGTCTCTTATCCTTTAAACTGCAAATAAATACTCGCTGTCAGGAGGGGCAGTGCTCAGGGGGCTGGGAATAGGCTAAGTCTTCTGCTAAACTTTTTTTTTTATTCTCTTAAAATGTGAACTGCATGGGGCTGGAGAGACGGCTCAGCAGTTAAGAGCACTTGCTACTCTTCCAGAGGACCCTAAGGTTGGCTCCCAGCACCCCGATGTGAGGCAGTTTACAACCATTTAACTCCAGCTCCAAGAGATCCAACGCCTCCTGATCTCTGAGGGCACCTCCCCTTCCCATATAAAAATGCTCAACTACATGAATATATTTCCTATTTGGAAAGGAAAAAATGAAAAGAAAAAAAAAAAGAACTCTGGAAAGGATTAATCATTCACATCAAGCGCTTTCCTCAGCAGCCACTCCTGACAGAAGGTGCAGGTAAGAGGCACTCCAGAGCTTCCGAGAAGGTAAACACTTTGACCTTGAGGTTTGAGCCCAGGTGGGGCCCAGCGTGGCGGCTCCCACAGGAAGCTGGCTCACTCTGGGTGGTGAGCACACTGAGAGTGGTGAACACTCATGATGCTGCAGAGAGCCTACACCCTTCTGGGTGGGTCTCCACACTCCACCCTGGTTGGTGTCAAGGTGGGCACGACCCTCCTCTGGGGTTTTACTTTCATGTACCTATCCCTGAGTCCTCTTTGAAAAGACATGGACAAACAGTCATGCTAAGCAGAGCCTTCTACAGGCCAGGCCACAGATTGAGCCAGGGAGCTGGTTTGAACCATTTCTCCTATGGTTTCTCCTATTTCTCCAAAGCTGGTTTGAACCTTCTTCCTTTTCTGAAGCGGAGGTCACAGAGAAAATTGCTAGGTTGCCTCTCTAGTGATGAGGGAAGGCTGGCTCTGTATGTGGCAGAGCATGAACACTCAGGGCCTGAGAAACTCAAGATATCCTCAGTGTAACATGTACGGGGCCATGGTCAGGCTTGGGGGAAGGTGATCTGTCCAGCACCCTGGGCAGCAGGCATGACCCTGGTGAATCAGGGGGTGGAAAATGTCCTTTCCTTCTTCCACACAGCAGGCAGAGTCTGGCCTCCACAGCTCCAGGTTGCCAGTCAGATTCTCGTGTTCCAACCATGTGAGCACTGTCAGGGAAGCTCAGAGACGGTGGAGCACAGAGAACCTCTCTCTCAGCTTAGGACCAAGCTTGACCCTTGACCCTTCCTGGGCACTTACACAGAAGACAGGCTGTGGGAGGGCTCCAGTTTTTAACTAGGGGCAGGGAGAGAAAACCCAGGAAGCCTCAAGGTAAACTCGCCAGGTCCAGGATCCCAAAGCAAACACAAACCCAGCCCCTGTTGCCTCCCTGATGTCTCAGAGCAAAGCGGACATTCCTCTCCAAGAAGACCAAGGACTTCCTCTACCTCCTCCACAGAAAGGTGCACACTTGTGATCTCAGGATTTTGCAGGTGAGGAGGAGGACTGAGAATCTGCATTACAAAGTGAGCCCTGTCTCAAAACACAGAGGGGAGAGGGAGAGAGAGCTAGATCTCAGACTATGGCTTTGTTGGTAGCAGACAAACTAGCTGCAAGTTATTAGCAATTAATTAACTAACTAACCAGTCCCTCAGCTTGACTAGAGGAACTGAGTTTTGCGAGCCCAAGGCAACACTGTGAGGGGATGGTGGAAGCCACTGTCTGGGGCTTGCTGTCGCAGTCCAGGGCCAGGCCACAGTTTTGGAGAACAAAGCAGATTCTAGCAGGCGAACAGCTGAACTCTAAACTACCCAGGAAGCACAGTGCTTCTGGCTCAAAGGTGCCTCAGCCGCCAGCCAGCACACTTCAGACCACTGTGGCCCAACCCGACCCACTCCGGAGGGACAGAGGACCTGCCAGCTCTTAGGCTGGCCACCTTAAAAAAATCAAGCCTCTTTTATTAGTTTTTGAGAATGGCTTAATCCATCTGAGACACGGTCTCCCTGTCTGTCATCTATAAAAGGGAGGGATGGGAAACTGGGAGAAGCTAACTTCAACAGTAAGGAGAGAAAAAGGACTTGGGAGCCAGGCAGACATGTTTTCAAACCCTAGCCCCGCGTGACCTAGATGCAATTTACCTGACCCAAGTCTGCTTTATTTGGCAACAAAATGTGCTTAGAATGTCCGTGGCTGGGCAGGAAACATGGCTCCAGTTCAGAGCACTGCTGCTCTTGCAGACCTGAGTAAGATGCCAGCACCCAAATTCTGGGTGGCTGCTCAACCTCCCTCCAGGGGATTCTATACCTTCCTCTGGCCTCACTGAGCATACCCGTATACACAAATGCACAACACAAATCTTTTTTCTTTCTTGTTTTGAGACAAGGTTTCTCTGTTAACAGCTGTCCTGGAACTTGCTTTGTAAACCATGCTGGCCTCGAACTCACAGAGATCCACCTGCCTCTGCCTTCCAAGTGCTGAGATTAAAGGTGTGCACCACCACTGCCTGTCAAAATAAATCTTAAAAAAATAAAATGTCGTGGCAAGGACTGTTAAAGGAGCCTGCTCATGTCACCCCACAGCAGATTGGAAAACATTGGTTTTCCTCATTCCTACCTCATATCCAGCCACTGTAAGAGGGGCAGGAATGTACTAAGGTGGCAATAAAACAATGTAAAATAAAAATAAAATGCTTCAAGAGAATGGCATCAGGGATTTGGTCTCAGATCTCATCCTCAGCCAAGTGCCCATCACTGCAGCTCCAACAGAGGATAGAAGGGGTGGGACAAGACGCTGTGGGCAGCAATGGGCAGAGTGCAAGAAGCCCCGCTGGGAGATGAGAGATGCTGGGTCCTGACACAGGTTCCCCAGGACCATCAATTCTGGGTCCTGACACAGGGTTCCCCAGGACCATCAGTGCTGGGTCCTGACATTGGGTTCTCCAGGACCATCACTGCTGGGTCCTGACACTGGGTTCCCCAGGACCATCAGTGCTGGGTCCTGACACAGGGTTCTCCAGGACCATCAATGCTGGGTCCTGACA